CCCTCACCTGTCCTCCCTGCCTCCTCTAGGGCCTTCACCTGTCCTCCCTGCCCCGCTAGGGCCCTTACCTGTCCTCACTGCCCCCCCAGGGTCCTCACCTGTTTTCTCTGCACCCCCCAGGGCACTCACCTGTCCTCCCTGCCCCACAGGGCCCTCACCTGTCCTCCCTGTCCCTCTCAGGGTCCTCACCTATCCTCTCTGTCCTTCCCAGGGCCCTCACCTGTCCTCCCCGCCCCCTAGGGCCCTCACCTGGCCTCATCCCTCAGATCTTCACAAGGCTGGCTCCTTCTCATGGCTCAAGTCTCTACTCACAGAAGCCTTTCTTGATGACCCAAAATTGACCCCACACAGACACACACAGACACATGTGCCCCACCTTTACCTGCCTACTTTCTGTTTATTGCCTCTCTCTCCCACTAGGATAGAACCTCCTCGAGGGCAGGGTCTTTGTTTTATTCCCTACTGTATCCCTGGCCCAGAATGGCACGTAAATGGTTTTGGAACTGTCTCCATCAATTTCAACCTACCTTCAATCCCTCAATGTGGTGACCACCGCAGGGACCTTACGATGTCCTCCCAGCGGGGCCACAAGCACACCCCCTGTATTTCATTTCCGACAGCCCAAGTCGGCCTCCCAAGGGCCCCAAGGGAGGTCTGTGCCCAAGGCTGTGGCATTTCTCTCTTTTGGTCATTACCCCACTGGTGGACCCAGGGTGCGGGAGGGAGACGCACCGAGCTGGACGAGATAGTAGACAGTCAGCAGGAGCTGCATCTCTTCTGAGATGGGCTGAATGGCAGAGGCGCCGTACTGTTCGTACGCTCTGGAGATGGACTGGGAATTCTGGTAGCACGTGTACAGCAGGGGGCTGACCACAACGTCACTCAGGTTCCCACAGAGGTAAGGGAAGTTCCCGTGGCCTGTGGAAGAAACAGCAGCTCATTGGCAGCTGGCCTCGTGCACAGCTCACGGCCCCCCACGGGTGGGATGTCTGGGTGTGAGGAGCTGAAGGAGACAGGTGAGCTGCACCTGGGGCCACTCAAGTACCCCTTTCCCGGAAGTCTCGGCCTTCCAGCCCTTGCTGACCTAGCGCACCTGCTCCACCTTCCTGGACCCCAGAGTGACAGAGGTGTAACCTTTTATAACTGATGGGGGCTAAAGGATGTCTGCTCATTTAGCCCAATCCCTTATTTTACAGGTGTGCAAGCTAAAGCCCGGGGAGAAGGACTGCCCCCAGCCAAGCGGCCCCGGCCTGTGCCACTGCTTCGGCACTGGCGGTGGAACACCCCATGTGCGCGCCACGCCACCTTCCGTTTCCTTGCGGGTGCTGTGCGCCAGCCCCGCCTCCTCCCGGGGCTCTCTGCAAGCTGAAAAGAAATCGCTGCACAGACTTGGAAATCTGGCAGGCCTCGACAAACGCTTCGGCAAACATGAGACGAATTCTGATGCCAACTCTCCGAGGCAGAATTGCCCGGGCCAGGCTCAAGGCTCTTCTCACCCTTGTTCAGCCACGTGGCCCTAAGCAAGAAGCTTAACTTCTCTCAGCCTCAGTCTCTGCATTTATAAAATGGAGTGAAGATGTCAAAGCCTCGCAGGCTGCTGAGCTACCAAAGAAGGGTGTGTGCGTGGTGTCTTGTACCCAGAAGGTGCTCCATTTAGTCACCGGAGACACACTGTCTGAACCCTGCCGCTTGCTGTGGCGCAGGCACCATGCTACACTCCGGGGATAAATGAGATGTGGGTCGTGTCCCCAAGGAAACTGCAGCTCCAGCTTGCATGTGCAAGAGGACCTCTTGACAGACCTGCTAACGCACTTGCTGGCCCCACCCCAGAGCCTGATTCACAACTGGGGCCCGACTCTGGGACGGGCCTGTGAATTCACACCTCGAATAAGCCCCCAGGTGGTGCAGGTCCTGCTGGACCAGGGACCACGACTTGGGTAGCTCTGCTCGTAAACACTACGGTTTGTAAGAGGCACCGGAAAGTTACTAGACAAAAAAGGACGTGATAGTTGTCATCGAAGAAGCACAGAGAAGCTGCGATGGGAGCCAGATGAAAGGGGACTAAGACAGCTTCACAGACAAGGCACTGGGTGGGGTCTCAAAGCATCGGTGGGGTTTGGGCATACGGTCGTGGGGACAGGAGCGAGGGAAGCAAGCGCTCTGCAGAGAGGGGTGTGGCTTAACCAGAGGAAGTGCGGAGACAGTGTGCTTGGGAACGAAGGGGACAGTCTACATTCTGCGATCATTCATGAGAGGCACAGGTCTGCGGGGCTCCTTTTCTGAGGCTCCTGGCTCAGAGCAGGTGCAGGGGAAGCCCTGCCGCACCTCCGAGCCGCGCCCCCGTCCTAGCTCTGTTGCCTCAGCACTGTGTTCTCAGGGTCTACCGCAGGCACATGCTGGCCAAAGGCCACATGCAACAAGATTGAATGTTGGCCTTCGTTTTAGTTACCCAGTAGGGCCCAACAGAACCACCCAAACGCTGGCCCTGCCCCATGCCAAGGTCAAAACCCAGATTCGCACCCTATTCCCTGAATGCCCTGTCCATTTTTTGTTTTGGAGAGAAAAAAAGTGTCCTTTCTTATTTCTTAATTAACAGGAGGATGCCTCTCCCACTTTCCTACCACTCTCCCTCTACCCACCAGCATGACACCAAATGCAATATTAACTTATTTGAGAAGGGCCTGAAAACATGCATGTATGTGCTGTGCCCACGTGTGCACATACGTGTGTATTACTACATGCCAGCACACTATGCCGCTGAGTACAATCGTCAATCAAGTCCTCATACGGTCTCCCATTTCAAGGTCTCTGGCTTCGTCGGAAAGAGATTTCTCTAGTTGAGCCAGAAGTCTCCTCAGTGGGCCCACCAGCCCACTGCACAAAGCAGATCAAATCTAGTCTTGTCTCATGCGTTTACAGTAGTGACCACAGCTATCCTTGCCCAAAGTCAGACGTCACAGTGCAAAAGTACTAGTGGCTTAGGGTGACACCAGGACAGCCCACCAGACCAGGCTCCCTGAAGCAAGGGACTGGTTTGGCCTCATCCTCGGTGCTCAGCGCTGGCCTGTCACCGTGGCAGGAGCTCGGTGAAGCCGAGCGAGTGGACGAAGGAATGCGTGGACAAGCAAATGGGCTTCACGGAAGGGAATCGCTTCACTTGGACTCACTGGGAAAAACTACAGCAAGACCTACTATTCTCGGCATCTGACTGGGCCTAAACGAGTGACTGCTTCTGCTTGTTTCTTTCACTGCCCCCAGAAAGAGTTCGAGGTTTGTCTCAGAAGGACAGAGTCAGACCTGGAGTCAGACCGGGATGAGGTCTCTGCTTTGCTGTTCTTGTGTCTCCTTCTAGACTCTCCTACCCCACGACCCGGCACGCTGCTCCACTTGCCTTTAAATATCACCGGCTTGGCCTTGCATATTTTCAGCAAGTTGTCAGGAACGGACACTGGTTCTCCAGGGGCCACCACTGAAGCTGGTCCCACCAAGCCAACCTGGGGCACACAGGAAACGCCCGCGCCTTCTAGGAACATGCCAAGAGTGTTAGTAAAATACATCGGACCAGGCATCCCTCTCCAGCAGACCTGACCTCAGGCTGGGCAACAAATCTGCTACCAACCTGACCCATATCCCTGCCCACGGGAGCACCGAAGTCCTGGAATCAGGGATTCCCAAGGTCAGAGGCACCTTTAAGTTCATTCGGTCCAACCCTCCCCACCCCTGACTCAGTCTCTTCCTGTTCCATTTCCCTGCCAAGTGACAAGCAAGCCCTTTTTAAATTTCTCTAGGATCAGGGAATTCACCATTGCACAGGGATCCTAGGCTTTGTGAAGCAATCCTAGCACATGAGAGATCCTTTTGTTGTATCAAAGTCTGCCTCCCTGGAACACCCTCACCGACGCGCACACACGTGCGTTCGCCGGCAGCAGCACCGCTAGTGCCTGAGTCTGGGATCCTGGGCAAGGCTGCGGTCACTTACCGTACTTAGTTCTGCTCCCGCCACTCGGGGGGTAGCCACCATCTGTAGCTGATGGGGATTCTGGAGACCACCCTTTGTGGCGCTTTTTGGGGGGCCCGGAGTTCGACAGGATACCTGGACAACATTCAGAGTATGGGTTAGGCTATCACTAGGAAACAGTGTCAATAAAACTTTCCCTGGTTTGAAGAATACTTATCTGGCATTTTTTAAATCACACTTTGACAATGGGTTTTAAGTATCTAGTGAAGTACTGAGGTGAGGAAACATCCTGTCAATTTCTGCAAATGTTTCATTCCAAAGTTAGCTGTGTATGTGTCTAAGCTTTGTCTCTGAGCCCAAGTTCTTTCATTTTTAAAATGGAATAATAGGGCCAAGCGCGGTGGCTCACGCCTGTAATCCTGGCACTCTGGGAGGCCGAGGCGGGAGGATAATTTGAGCTCAGGAGTTCAAGACCAGCCTGAGCAAGAGCGAGACCCCGTCTCTACTAAAAATAGAAAGAAACTAGCTGGACAACTGAAAATATAGAGAAAAAATTAGCTGGGCATGGTGGCGCATGCTTGTAGTCCCAGCTACTCGGGAGGCTGAGGCAGGAGGATCGCTTGAGCCCAGGAGTTTGAGGTTGCTGTGAGCTAGGCTGACGCCACGGCACTCACTCTAGCCCGGGCAAAAAGAGTGAGACTCTGTCTCAAAAAATAAACAAATAAATAAATAAATAATAAAAAAATAAAATGGGATAATAAAATCTCCTATGAAAGGTGGTTCAATCAGGACTAAAGAGAACATACGCAGAGGCAGCGCCTCGCAGAGAGTTTGGGCCCATTAAACATCAGCCACCATTACCTACATCATCACCACCATCATCACGGTTATGTACGCATGCCAAAATGCCTCCAAAGAGCTGGAAAGGAGACCTGTGTTTCTGCAGACAAGCATCAGCGGCACTCAAGCCACCACCGCAGTATCACCACTTGGGGGCAGTACAGATCCACCTGCTCCCCTCCCCGCCCTGGAAAGCTCATTTCAGACTCACAAAATCAAGAACAGAGGCTGACACCCACTGCCGCTGTGAGTCATCCCTGCCCACTCTAGGTAACAGCAGGCTGATGACTCAAGCGATATCGTGAATGGCTCAAAAAATCAAGAACTGGTTACCGTAGTTTCTTGACCAATCTGACACAAAATATCCCCTATGTTTAGAGCTCCATGTTGCAACCCTGGCTGTACATTAAACCTACTTGGGAGACTCAAAACGCATCTGTCTGGAGGCAGCAGGGAACCCAGAAGCCCAGCATGTTGAGGGGCCCAGGTGATTCCACCAGGGTGGAGAACCAGCAACCAGAGCAACGGTCCTCCGAGCTCCCTGAGGAGGAGCTGTGCAGAGACAGCAGGGGACATGTGACATCTGTCCCCCCTGGGCCCTGCCAGACCAGAGCCTCATCTCTGGAAATGACAGGAAGCAAATGCCATCCTTCACAAGCCACCCTGGTGGTTCTTAAGCACGCTGCAGTTTAAGAATTATTGCTCTAGCGTCTCTTGAAAGTAATTCAAAAAATATTTCCCCCTCTTCTTTAGACTGACTGAAAGTGAATAGAAAGTGACAAGCATAAAGTACTTTGTTTGCAAAGAGTTCTCAAACTGGTGTGCTCCTCCGGCCCTCCCTGCAGCCCGAGGCGGCTGCTGTTTTCCCCTCCCTCCACCCCACACGCCAGGCCCGTGACCCTCCACGCGTCCGTCCTCGCATACAGGGGAAGGGCTCCCTCTAGACTGAACTACCAAAGGGGACAGGGAGTAGAATCGGGTCTCAGACCCGAGGATGGAAGATCTACAGACACTCTCCCTCTGGGAAGCTAATCCTAAATGCCTGCACGTGAACTCTAAGCCTGTGAGCTCTCCCAAAATGACGTCCCCGGGAGCCGCCCCTGTGGTACCAACGTGGACCAACTATTTCTTGAAATGTCCCACGGGGGGCGCTATGCGGCATTTTGGGGAAGATGATTCATCATGTAGCCGACTCATTGAGGGACACATGGCCTCCTGCACACTCTGTCCCCAGCACTAAATGCCAGTTAAGACCCCCTGTCTGGGACAACAAATCCTTCTTTTATCTACACATTTCCACCTCAAGGTCAGCACTTCTCCACTGAGAACCACTGAGTGACAGGCTTCAAGCCTTCATTAAATACTCCTTGTCCTTTTAGAAACAATTTTTTAAAAATTGATTTTGAGCTCTTCCCAGAGCGGACCAGAGGGCTCAGGAACTCCGACGCCTCGGCGGTGCTCAGGGCAACTCGGTCCAGCCAGCGTCCACGGAGCCCCCCGGCCAGGCCACGGCAGCCGGTGCTGGGGGCTCCACGATGCGCGTGACCGTGGCCCTGCGCTCGGGAGCTTCACGGCCTGGAGAGCCACCGGCCCTGACAGCCACAAGTGGTGTGGGACTGAGCCTGGGGTGCCTGGGAGCCCCACTTCACGGAGGGCACCCTGAGCTAAGCGCCGAAAGGCGGTTTAGCAGGTGGGTGGAGAGAGACGCCTGCTGAGTGCACGGAGGAGGAGGAACAGGGCGTGGATTCGGGAGGATGGGGCGGTGACAGGGAGCGGGGACTGAACTGCCCAGTGCGGCCAAAATAGCAGCGAGTGAGGTTCAGCAGGTTGGTTGGGGCCAGGCTCCAGAAAGGCTTGAGTGCCCCCTTAGGGAATTGGGGGGGGTCCTCCATTTTCCACATCCCTCCACGGGGTATGGCAAGGAAAGTACGCTCAGTCCGGTCCAGATGTCTTCCCAGAGCCACCTCCACAGGGTCCCAGGCTGAGGGAGGCCCTCATCTCCCTGCTGCTCGGGACTGAGGCTGGGGACCCACAGATCTCGGCTCAGGGAGGGAGGCCCCAACATAGCCTCGCCCTCCCCAGAGGCCCAGCTCCTCGGCCTATGGCTGCCCCTAAATTCAGCACTCGATAGGGTGAGGCTGACTTTTGGCTCCACAGTGGTAAGGGCTGGGAAGCCTCAGATTCAATTCAGAAAATATATTTGCTCCTTCAATGAGTGAGACAATTCACGGGCTTTAACCAGGGAAGTCCTCCACCAGCACAGCGTCACGGGCGCAGAGAGACTGGAGCCTAGGCCGGGCCTCGCCTCCCTGCACTCAGTCTCCTCCTCTGTAAACAGTGTTGGCCTACGTGATTTCTACGGCTCCTCCAGTTTGGTATCTTGGATCCTAAAATCCAGGTTAGCTGTGTGCATAAGGGAGGGCAGGAGGAGAGAGAAGACCGGCTTATGAAATGGCTCTAGACGGCAACGGGGAGAGCACTGGATTCGGAGTCCAAGAGCGGGTCTCCAGGTTGCCCACCCTGCTATCTTCCTCACACCCTTCCTCTCACAGGTCTGAACCCCTCACTCACCTCTCACCTATATCCTCACCTCCTCCTCCCTCTTTGCTCACTTCCTCCCATATCATCTCTACTTAAGGCTTCCCCAGCTTCTAAGTTCAGTTATCACCTCCTCCAGGAAGCCTTCCCTGAACAGATCAGCCTCACTGATGATGCTAACACAGATGGCAACAAGCTGGTATCAACTAATGAGCTGTCAGATGTGCTCTGACCTTACACACAGCACCTCATCCCTCTTAAGTACTCTCAGAGCAGAATTCTTATCTCCAGATGAGGAAACATTTATTGAGACTTAACCAAGGTCCCCTAACAAGAGACAAAGCTGGGTTTATTTATCTGATTCCAAGTGCAAGTTATTCCCCGACAACACCACTGCCCCCTATTGCTCCAAAACTCTCCAGCCATCCAGACATGCGGCCCATGAGACAGGTCATTTGCCATCACCATGGGTGTCTCAGTGCTGCTTGGCACACACGACACCTCCCAAGTGCGACTCCACCCTCAGTGGCGGAAGCCGTGACCCACAGCCCTGGGGCCTGGGCACAGACCCGCAGGCTCACGAGGCACCTGCTGTCCTGGCCTGACTCTCAGGGAAGCAACACCAGGCTCCAGGAGGCTCAGTGGCCCCTGCCCAGTGGTTTCTGTGCCCCCTCTGGCCGTGGCCCAGAGGACAGTGGGCCCCCCAGGACGGCCAGGACAGGCAGCACTACCTAAGGCAGAGGGCCGCGGCAGGGCCGACAGGGCATTCTTCACCAGCTGTTGGTGCTTCGGGGAATCTTTGCCATTGAGAACAGCTGGACTCACTGCTGCACTTAGGGAGGGGTGGTCAGAGGCTGGCCCTGAAAGCAGAGAGGACAAAGGCAGAGAGAAACATCAGTTTGCAAGAACGCCCTGGCAGGCCAGGCCAGGAGGACGTTACTTTTCTTCCATTTTCACAAACTGGCTTTTCCCTGGCAAGGCCCGTCGGGCTGGAATTCCTGACATAGTGATTCTGCCCCACTGAGAGGACACATACAGACACATGCATACACACAGGTGCACCCATGCATACATGCTCCCACACACACACGCACGCACATGCATGTCCATAAACACACACGCACAGGAATACATGCACACACTCCTGCTTACACCCCAATGGCACAGCCTGGGAGAAAGGGGGACATGAGTGGCTGCGGGGGGCAGGGAGGGGCTCCCTGAATTCCAGGACCACACCTGAAACTCCTATCGCCCAGGCTCAGAAGAGCAGCCAGGCGTGCAGCCGTCTGGGTGCAGAGCTCGGCTCCCCGGGTCTGCGGCTAATTCCAGGTTCTGGTCTCCTGAGGCTGATGCACAGCTTAAGTTGCTCAAGTCAGTCAGAATGATCTAGAAGGCGCTTGGGTCAGGAGCAGTACCAAATGACGGGGTTAAGAATGTGGCTCTAAAGCCAGACAGCCTGTGTTTGAGCCCAGTTCCACCACTTCCCAGCTGTGTAACCTTGGACACTTATGTAACCTCCCTGTGCTCAATGTCCTCATCTATAAAATGGGGTGACAGTCGTAACAGCTCAGAGCCACTGTGAGAACATGAGTTAGCAGAACGTGTGCAGAACAGCATCTGGAGTGTAGCAAACGCTGAGCACCGCTAGTGCTACAATCTTCATTCTCACAATTGCTCTGCAAATTAGAAGAGATTGTCCCCAACTTTACAGACAAGGAAACAGGTTCAGAGGTTCTCAGAGAATTGCCCCAAATCACTCAGCTAGGAGATGGCAGCTGGAGCTCACACCCAGGCGCTATGACGGCACCGACAGTGGCTCCCCAGGCCCTGGTGGCAGAGGTGCCGGGGGCCTGGGCCTGGCGAGGCAGCAAGTGACAAGGGCACTGGCTCCCCTCTCAGGGCAGTAGGAATGAAAACAACCAGCCACCTTCCAGAGGCTTGGGAATGCTGTGTCTGCTTAGCAGGTCTGTGCAGCGTGCTGCAGCACCAAGCACGTGAATCGGCAACACCGATATCAACTCTCGCCTCCACCTGCTCCTGCCCGTGAGGTCCTAGGCAAGCATTCAGCCTCAGTGAGCCTCGATTTCCCAGACAGTAAAATGTGGAAGCTAACGCCGGCCAAGGAGATCATGCACCGAGCTGGGGCAGCAATCAGATCTTACCCACCCCTTCTAGCAACTCGATTCAAACACCGACTCAGAGCCTGTTATGTGGACGGTGCTAGGCTGCGAACTGGGGGATGCAGAGAGACCCTAAATATGACCCCCCCAGTAAAGGGGATCACATTACGTATGAAACAGGGGCGCAGAAAAGCTTTCCTAATGAAAAGCACAGCATCCTATGTTGAAAACGGTTACAAATTAAAGATGAAATGCAAAGGCACTGTAGAGGAAGGTAACATACAAAGTACGCCCTTTGCTTATTTCGAAGAATGCTTGACCACGAAGTCGCCCAGCACGCTGGAGATGTGCCAGGTCTGTGGATGTGGCACCTTTGGTGGCACCTTTGCCTGTCGCCTCACCTGCCTGAGCTCCCATCAGGACACCGGGGTTCGTCCCGGGCACGGGCTCGCCGGGGAAGGCAGCCAGAGGCCCCGAGCTGTCCGGCGGCGGGAAGAGGGAACTGGAGCACGTGGTGGCAGCGGGCTGCCGGCTTCTGAACTCTAAGGGGACAAGACGCACGCGTGAAACCCAGTTCGCTCTCCTCCAGCGGTCACAGGACGATTTCCCACACCGGGATGGTCCTGTGGGAGACCGAGATACGTAGATGGCCATAAAAGGTGCCACCACTTCCTTGTCTTTGCTTCAGTGTGTAGCTGGGGCCGGGGGTACAACCCTCCACCTGTGCCCCCACGCCGAGGGGCGGCTCTGTCAGGAGTGGGCGCAATAGTGAGTACTCGGAAGAAACAGACAAATTATACAAATTAGTCATCTAACGGCTGCCCCTGAAGTCCAAGGAAAGAACAGAGTGTCACCCAAAGGTAAAGGAAAACCCATACGCCCCCCACCCTGTGAGTCCTCCCTGCGGGAAAGACCAACCTCAGCGGCACAGCTAACCCGGAGGGGCTTGGTCGTAGCAAGTGACCAGAGGCAGTGAACTGGCCCCACGAGGGGCTCAGGAAATACTTACTGAATAAAGCAAATAAAGAGGGGAGGAGGAAGAGGGGGAGGGGAGGGGCGTACCCAGAGCTGCCCGTCCGAGGGCTGGGAGATCCCAGAAGGCCCGACGTGAACAGACGCAGCCAAGCGAGGGACAAAGTGATGGCCCTGGCCACCTCACTGGAGAGCCCCTCCCAGATGTGCACCTCCCTGCCACCCCGAGGCTGGCCTCTGAAAACCCAGCCACCCCTCCCTCTGCCCCTCAAAGCGGACTGTGGCCGTGAGACACAGGGGAGGCACAGAGGGGCCTGAGGGGACCTTCTCCTAAAGCTCCAGGGAGCTGGAGCCACTCACTTCTTCGGGAACCAGCAACGCAAAGCTGGTCTCTCTGGTCATAGTCGACAGGGTTCGGGGTGGGCGCGGGGGGTGGCAGCACGTTATTTGAGCCAAGCTCTCCCTACGCTGAGTCAGGTTTCTCAGCCTAGGCCCCACTGACGTTCTGGATGGGACCCTGTGTGCCGGGGCCTGTCCTGTGCCTTGCAGGGTGTCCAGCAACATCCCTCGTCCCTACCCCTAGACGCACTCTCCAGTCGTGACAATCGAAAATGTCTCCAGGCATTGCCACATGTTCCCTGGGGGACAAAAGCCACACCTGGTTGAGAACCACTGCCCCAAATACTTGCTGCAAGGAGTCACAGCACAGTGTGGCCCTCCCCCCACCAGCACATGTCCCATCTGCTAGTCCGTCACTGTCAGCCAGCTAAATGCCCGTAATGCAAAGGAGCGTTTTCAGTCTCACAGGCCTGGCCTTTGCCTGTGATCTGTGCCACTGCAGAGTGGTCTCCCCCCAGCATCACACTGACGGGCACCACGGCCCACTGGGGGACATTCCCAGCACCTCCACGCCCCGCCACAGCCAGACTGCTCACCTGAGCCTTTCCAACAAATCAAAGGTCCCTTGGTTAGAGTCCCTTGTGCATTACGGACCAGGTAATACTTCAAGTGTTTCTGCTTCTTGGGTTGGGTGGTCAGTTTCAGATTTATATGATTGGAGAATTCCGTGAAGTAACAGAAGCCTTTCTTCCCACAGCCAACACAATTCCCAGAGAAACCTGGAGAAGGAAACAAACCATGAGCAACTCCAACTCACCTCCAAAGTCCTTTTAAAATAAAACACAGTTCACCAAGACTCTGAAGGTTCATGTCCTGTACCACCAACCAGAGAACCCCACAGGGCAAAAAGTCCCCATCATCTCAGACTGGCCCAGAGGTCAAGATGGCCTTGACGTGAATAAAAGGAGGACCAAGAAGAGTCAGTCGTAGGGACGAGCCCAGGCAAGCTTAGAAGACTTATCTTGCTTAGGGGTATCTGGAAAACCTGTATAGACAGCAAACGATGCAGGACAAGAATGATCGTTGGGCTGTCTACACTGACCAACCACCTGTAATAACCTGCTAGGCCTCTATTTCCTTTGGTGCTGGCCAATTACAGAATCTCAAAGCAATTACACCAGTGGGACCAGCTACACTGGGAGACGTCTTGAGAGTCCAAAATTCAATGCTGGAGTCAAGTTGATCCCAGGATTGCAGAAAAGAAGTCAAGAGAGCTCCACAGTGCACGGTCCGCATCCTCCCGCCCAGGCCAGAGGGGGCCTTTCTGAGAGCTGATGCAGGTTCTCATCCACTGTGAGGCTCTAGGCAGGCCACCTACACAGTGGCGATGACACAACTTCTTCATGTAAACTATTAAAATCCAGAATATGCTTTGTAAACTGTAAAACCCATTCAGGTTGTGCTCACTGGAAGTGCTGGTTAAGATGAGAGCAATGTGATGATCTGACTCCTATATCCGATGATCGCTCTTGTTTCAACGGTCTCAAGCAGACCTTGTTTTTCCCACTGGTACGTCTGGTTTCTCCAGGTCCAAGGGCCTTTGGCAGGAGAGACCCTGAAGTGGAGCCTAATTCAGTTTATCACATTCTCTGGCTGGTAAGTCTACAGATGTCATTTTGCCTTGGGCCATGAGGGCCACACAGCTCTGTGCACAAGCTCTGCTCTTAAATAGAGTATCCCTGAGGTCTCCGGCTAGTCTTTAAAATAACTCTAGTCAGTGAAGGTTAAACGCATCTCCACAGAGAAGACAGACGCCTACATTACAGAAACCTAATGGAGTCCACGATCTATTTTAAGCAAATTTAATCTTCCTCAAAAGGCCTTAGAAATACAGACAAATCTCTTGGCCCAGCCATAGGACAGTTCAGGACGATTTTAGAAGCAGAGAGGCCAAGCAACTGTCCACAGTCACAGGGACAGGAAGCGTGGCATCTGATGACAGTCAGAAGAGGATGTCCTCACGAGAGGCCCAACATTCGAAGCTGCCCAGACCTTGCCCTCCACAAGCCTCACTGCACGCGCCTGGCCTCACTTGCCGCCCGCCCTGGGGCCCGGTCCCCCAGAGCACCCGCCAGGAGCCCAGGGGCTGCCTCGCACCCTCCTCTGGCTGTGCTCCTTCCATTGCTCAGGGGCACTTAAACGCCTCCCTCAGTGCTACAGTTACTGAAATTCACGTCTTCTCCCCACCATCATCCCTATCCTTCAAAGGCCCGGGCTCACGGTGCAACTGCCCACGTGCAATTTGTGCTCGTAAGCGTGTGTGTGCCGACCAATGCCGCACACGCGGCAGCCAGCCAGTAAATATCCAGAGGGAAGGAAGGAGGGAGGACACAGGTAACTATAAGAGGGAACACGTGAGGGTTTCTGCATGCACTTCTAAGTCATAGCCTAATGTTTTTATTTATTCGTTCATCTTCAACCTAGGAAGCCCGAGATACATACGGCTCAACTGCCACCTGAGCAGGAGGCCCCAAGAAACCTTCGGAGCTCCCTGGAAGGAATCCTAAGCCTGAGTGTTGGAAAGATGAACAGGAAACGGAACTGCAAGACCGAGGATGCTAAGAGCAATTTGCCAAGGCCAGTGCTGCTGTCCCTCTCCAGAAACAGCTAAATAGGCCCCAGGCTGTCGTCCCAAGGGACAGATGGGCTGGGGACCCTGGCTCTGTTGCAGGAGTGTCCACAGCAGGAACGGCAAGCACAGGCAACAAGGAGCTCCTCTTTGTGGTCCAGAAATGAGAGCAGACTCCCTGGGTCCTGCTGGTATAGCAAATATTCAGGGAGCTGGCAAGCAAACTGCTCTCTTGCTTTGGCAAAAACTTTCTGGTCAGGAGACGCAGCTGCTCTCCTGAGAGGTGGTCCTGGAGAGGTGGCCCCAGAAGCCAACCAGGAAACCCACACACAGCTCCCCGGCTGGCGCTGGAGACGGGGCCCACGGTGCGCACCACCTCAGCCAAACACAGAGGTAATCCTAACCTTCGAGAAGTTGTTTGAAAGGCAACAAACGATTTTATGAGAAAGAGCAAAATAATGAGCCATTCTCCTGAGAAATCTGCCTTAGCACTTGGAAGTCTGTAATGATGTCTCCAGAAGACAGGCCTGGAAAGCAGGGATCGAGCCCAAAACCTCAAATTCCTGCCAGGCACAAACGTCC